AAAAAAAAAAAAAAAAAAAGTGGAGCTGGGTTTGACAAAACCCAGGCGGGGTTCCGTCGAACCCAACAAACTGGGTTTGATGACTTGAGGAAGAAGAGGAAGAAAGGAGAGGAAGAAAAAAAAAAAGAAAAAGAGAAAGGAAGAAGATGAATGGAATTATTTTATTTTTTTTTAAAATATAAATAGTAATCACGTGAGTTGACATGAAAAAAAATTACACAAAAACACGTTTTCAATTTGTTTTTGCCACATCATCAAAAAAACTATAAAAAATGCCACATGAGCGAGTTAACGATCTAAATTAACAGAAGGACTAACGGAGTGCAGTTCTTAAGGTTTAGGGATCAAAAAAGTGTAAAAAATTATTAAGAGACCAAAAATGTGCAACTCACTAAAGTTGAGGGACCAAATTTAGCATTTAACCTTTTGTTTTTTGTTGTGGTTTTTGCTTATTCTCTGTATATATTTGAGCAGTTATTGAATTTTCAGACGCATAATGTATTTGAAATATTGTTAGTTTCTAGTGTTATTATGTGTAGTTCTGTTAAGTCTTTCATATTTGGATTTAAAATGCAAACTTAATGGTAGGGGACCCAGTCAAAATTTAAAGATGTTTGTCTTGCTTGGTCCTAATGCATCTGTGCTTGGTAAGTCAAGGAGGATGACTCGAAAACCTTTCTACATTGTCATGTTTTTTTCTGGTTTCTTGTTTTTAGGTTCTAAAGTAGCTTTGAATTGGGTATTCTTCCAGTTATGGTTTTCCTGCATTGCATGTCCATTTCTTGATAGCGAGATTAATATTTAGAAGGATTTTCTCATCTGGGTTTTATTCAATTTTAGGTTTTTTGAGTTTTAAGCTTGTTAGTTCTACAAAAGAGTAAAACTTTCTGTCAATTCTCTTGGATTTTATTATTTTTGGATCTTGAAATTCCAGGTTTTGCTGTTTTTCTGGTGGGTTTTTATTGTACATGTCGTATGGATCATGTTCATGAATGCTGCAATGTCAAAAGCTTTTAAAGATGAAGCTGATTTTGGAGAACATTTGTTGGAGTTGATACTAGCAAAATCATTTTATGGATCAAGAACAAAGATAATGGTTATGCTTTCACATTTCAGAAAATGGGTATCTTGTTCGGTGGATTGTGTAATAGCCATTACACAACATAAAGA